GATTTTCTTCACCTTTTTTGGTCGGAAAAGTTAAAGTGGTTTTTGGCACCTCTTTACCTTAACCTTCAGTTTTCTCTATAAAGCCTGTTTGCCTGCTGAGTAGCTCAGCCCCCTGACATCCAGGCATCACTCCCTCCTATTCCCTCATCAGCCAGGGTTGAGGGATTCTTGGGTGAAGCCATTCAATTTCTTTACTCTCTTTGGCTGAATTACAGACAGTGGATTTGGAACTTCAATTTTTCTTTTGTAAGCATACCTCTTCTCCCTTTTGTTTAGGTACCTAGGCTTAGGGTTGCTGTGTGTAATTCTGGATGAGGAGTTAGGTCACTATTTCTTTCGGGCAAATACATTTGATTACCAGGATTGTTTTGCTTTTTTAGAGAATGAAAGAGTAATTTGGTTCCTGTGTCTGTTTTTCTTTAAGAAGGCATTTATGATGTGAAAGTATGAATAATTTTTTTTCTTCTTCCTAGACTCTCATTTGCAGATGTCTTCAAAAACAGTTACCTGTTTTACACAATTAACTGAAACCATCTAAACCCTGCCAGAAAACTAGTCAAGCTATAAAAAGCAGCAATTGCTTTGCCATTTCTGAGGGTGCCTTTCTGAAGTTATGTTCTCTGTTCATTATGAAATGGGATGAAGTCTTGAATTAGAGAAGTTCTTTAGTCTTCTCAGTATTTGTCACTGATAATATTACGGTTGGGCCATGACTGCCTTTCCTTAGACTGCCTTGATAGCTTACACAAAGTGGCTGTTTCCTTCAGAATCTTTCTATTCTTAAACTGATAATGTAGACAGAAACGAGTTCCTGTATGTAGCAGTTATTTTCCAGAATGATTTTCTATTGAGACATTGTGTTCTGGTTGGCTTGGGTTTTGGGTGTGTTTTTTCACAGTCGATAATATATAGGATTAATTTATTTTGAAGACTGTATGTATCAAAAAGATACCATAGGTATAGGTATAATAAATAAGGGTAGATGACTGTAAATGAATAATTACTTAAAGGGTAAGTAATGAGTGGATATTCAGGCATGATCAATGCCTCATAAACACTGCTCTGCAGAGTTGCTATTTGAAGCTGGAGGATGAGGAAGACTTTGTATTTGGATAGCAAGTAAGGAGAGTTTGCTCTGAGACACTCTTCCTTTTGGGGTCCACTGAATATCAAGTAAGCAGTTTCTGATGAGGAATCCGGTTGCTTTTTAAAAGTGACTTTTGTAGAGGGAATCTGGTATGCTCTTCCTTGTTCCTGGTTGCAGCTACAGGTATTCGTGAAGAAAATACATTCCTTATTGAACTCACTTGTAAGTCTACAGACATGCTGTACAGCGAAGGAAATTCCTCTGAGTTCGGGTAGTGCTGTTTACAAGTTTTAGGATTCTGGTTTTGTCCTGTCCTGAAAAGAGACACCCTTTACTCTGTGTACCTTTTTTTCCCCTCCTGATATGTCTGTTCTGATTGCAGGAATAGGCAGTGGTACTTATTATACAGAGAAGTGGTTGTTTTTTTTTGTTCTGCCTTCAAAGACCATCTCTGAGACAACCAGACCAAGACCCTGCTTCTGCTGGGGCCTGTGCAGTTTGCTACATTACTTTTACATCTCCACCATGTATCTGTTTGTTTACTTTGTGATACTCAACTTTGTCAAAACAAGAGCAAACAATTAAAAATGTGAAATTTCTGCCTGTTAGTTATATGCAGAACGCAAGCTGTGCATTCATATTCCAGCAGTTTATCCAGAGTTCCTTCATCATCTTGTACTGGCTGTTGCAGCTGTCGATGGGTTCCATATCTTTTTAAAGAGTCCTTATGGAAGCTATTGATGGAACTTGGTGGAGCCCTGGAGAACAAAATCTGTTCTTTCAGGACAGGTTAATTAAGGATGACAGTGGGCAGACTAATTGATGTTGTATTCTAACATTACATAACCTACTACGCTAAGTCTGTTTTTACACACGGTTGTTGGGTTCCCTTGATCTAAGGTCCGTTTTGGCTGGTTTTAACCTACAGACCCATCTAACTCTTTTGAAATATCTGATATCTTAGAGAAAATCCTTATTGGCTTTGTTATGGATTTGGGGGGGGAGGGGGGTGTTATTGGGTGTTTTGTGTGTGTGTGTGTTTTTTCCCAGCCCCTGATATAAAGGGCTTATTGTTACATCAGTTGGCAGTAAAGTAGATGGGAATTGGACCTGTGTTACTCTGCTTCTCCCTGCCTTTTTGTAGCTTCTGGAAGGTATTGTAGCCCATTGTAACTGTAGAGCTGCCAGGCTCTGCTATCTTACCCTAGGGATGTGGCACATTTATGGCTAGAAATGCAGAAGCTAGCTTAAGCTAGTCTTGGTCTAGTACTTTTTCTGGCCATAGTATGTGTACTGAGTAGTAGACAATCCCTGGCAGTGATTTGGTATGCTATTCATTATTTCAAGGCCAACCAGAATTTCATTTTTAGTAGTGCTTGAATATAATAACGACTTCTTTTCCACAAGGAGCGGAGGTGTAATATCAGCAAACTGCCGAGGCTAGACGGGTAAAGATTAATTTCTTGTGTTTTGACTTTGGTGGTGTTAAAACCCTCCTTAGTGTAGGAGCAGGACGTGTATCAGGGATGTGGAAACTGCATTCACGATCATGTCTTATGACTTGTCAGAAACAGTCCTTTCTAGTTGGACCAAGTAGCTCCTTGATCATACGGGAAGGTAGTGCTCTTTCATTTTCTAGCATACCAATTTCATATTTAATTTCTGCATAGATTACTTCTATTGGCTCTCATCAAGAATCTTCTTGAGACTCTAAGGGGGAAAAATTAGATTACTTCAGCTTTTGGTTTCCAGGAGTTACTGAACTTGTACTGTGACTTTGATTCTTTTGATCAAAACTAACAGTGAAGACGCTAATGATTTGTTGTGAAGAACTTAATAGTTTTTCATTCACCTTTTTTGTTTTCTTTTTAATCTGAAGATGAGGAAGGGGGAAGACTATTAGCCAGATATATTTCTAGAGGTGTTCTGTGTAACATTAAGTGTTTCAGAACCTGTTGAAAGAAGGAGGAATTGATCATTGCTTGGGTGATTTTATGAACATGTTGTAGAATAGAATGGATTTAAATATATAGAACTGCTTCTCTTACTGGTGAATGAGCTGGTTTTTATTCTGGAGGGTAATATGTTTGCATCTGAGAAGATGGGGTTATTTCAGAGCTTTACCAAAATGGAGTCTTTTTCCTTATTGATTCTGCAATGCATGTCAAGCTCAGCGTCTTGAATGTGTCACAGTTTTGAGTATATATTTAAAAAAAAAAAAAAGCCAAAAACCCCACAAAATAAGAACTCTTCTGTTGCCCCAGCAAAACTTTCTTTATTGCAAAATCACTAAAATAAGCATTTGCTCTGTTTTATATTCTGCTTTCTTCCAGCTTCCAGGTAGGTAGTTTCTGTATGCTGTTGAACTTTAATTGATCCCATTATAACTCCCAATTCCCAGCTGCCCCGGTTGGTGTTTGGATATTGCTGTTGGTTTGCTCTGTCTGGGTTGGCGTAGAGATACATTAGAGAGTTATATTTGGTTTCTCTAAATCCCTCATGACCACCCAGACATTCTGCCCTGTGCCTTCAAATATTGTAGAGCAACACTAAGGACATGGAGCTTATCCTTCTAGAATACTTGGGTAGGCTTTCTCTGCTACCTGGAAATACTTGAACGGAGCAGATTCAGCCAGCTGGCTGTCTTGGGCAGAGTAATGCTGCTTTATTTGAATCTGGGAGGAAGATTTAAGCCTAGTTTGGGCTGGCATGGAGGGACTTGGAGAGACCAAAATAGCAGGTAAGAAATTATGCTTCCTTTCCCCAGGTGCTTATAGTCCTGCACAGATGACAGAAGTATAATTGAAGAAGCCATCACAGGCATGCTAGAAAGAACACACTTGTAAAAACCCAAATAAACCCAAAATACACCACCCCCCGTAAAATTTCCTAGAGCAATTGCATTTTTATACCAGGGTAAATAACCTAAAATATTGGCTCCTAAATGCCTTCCAGAAATAATTTGAGCTTTAATGTTACATTTCTGGACCCGAGTTCCTCAGACATAACAAATATATAGTCCCATAATAGTATGAAATATAAATTCAAATGTTTAATGGCAAATGGCTAATATCTGGTTATCTAGAGAGTCATTTTGTATGAGTTTTTAGTTAATTGTGAGATTTCCTGTTAAAACCTCCTGTGGTATTTCAAAAATATCTACTAACTTTCAACAAACCTTGTGTCTTATAAGACCATGGTTGTTAAAATCTTGTTGGTTTTGCAGATTGCCTTAAACTGTCAGCTAATTATCCTTTCTGCTGTGTGGGTAAGTATGGCTCCAATACCAGGGTATTTTAATTAATGGGAGAACCCCCCCAAAAGGCAGTGTTTAGTTTGGTCCCTACAAATGCCACACTCAATGCCCTGCCTGCTGACCAAGCAGAGAGAGTCAAAAAATTATACAGGCAACTCTGTTAGCCACTGCGTGTGCTGTTGTACAGATCAGTAAGGAAACACAGTCTAACTTCAGCCTCGTTCAAAATGGTATCGAGAAACCCTGCGTTTTTTGCTGTAAGAATGTCACTTGCTTCAACTTGAAATGTAGGCTGGAAAGAGGGACATTTTTTATTTTTTGCCTGGGATAATATTTCCATTTTTTTCTGTGACAATTTTTTTTTTTTTCTTCTTGCAGGTTGAAAGAAGAAAGGGAGACCTGCTTGTCCAGTGAAGATGCAGTCTTAGTCTTCAGCTATTTAAGCTGAATGCATTGTGATTTCCAATAATTGAGACAGTGATTCTGAAAGCTGTCTACATTAATGAAAAGAACAATGTAGTCAGCTTAACTGAATCATCAGTGTTGCATATTGAATAGAACATGATAAACCAATCTTGATGGACTTATGCATCTTAGGAATATAGAGCTAAACATTTATTAAAGCATTGTGTTTTTTTTAAAACAGTAGTTTTAAAAATGGAGAAATACGAAAGTGTACCACCCCTCCCTAAAGAACCTGCAAGAGAAATGAATGTGGAGAATCATACTTGTCCCCCACCTCTGCCGCCTAACGAACAGCCTCCACCACCTCCCCTGCAAACGTCCAGTGACGCAGAGGTAATGGACGTTGGCTCTGGTGGTGATGGACAGTCAGATACCCCTGCTGGGGACACGCACAGTATCTGCAGAACACAGCTGCTCACAAAGGGATCTGCCTGCTACAAAAGTCGTCTTATAATAGACCCTAACAGTAGTGACCAAAGCCCAAGAACTGCTCGGCACGCACCTTCAGTTCGCAAGTTCACCCCAGATCTTAAGTTACTTAAAGATGTAAAGATTAGTGTTAGCTTTACAGAAAGCTGCAAAAGCAAAGATAGGAAAGTTCTGTACACTGGTGTTGAGCAGGATTATAAGGCAGATACAGATTTTGGTATTAATAATGTCAATGGGGATGTGCATGTTTGTCCTTTTGGTGGTAGTAATGGTAAAGCTGTAGGAGTAGGGGGTGAAAATGATGACAAGAAGGATGATGAAAATGATATTGATCAGGAAAAGAGAGTGGAATATGCAGTTCTGGATGAGCTAGAAGATTTTACCGACAATGTGATGGAAATAGATGAAGAAGGAGGAGGGTTCACATCTAAAGCAATCGTTCAAAGAGATAAAGTGGATGAAGAAACCTTGAATTACTCGTATGAGGTAAGTAAATCCACGGGTTTTTGGTGGGTAAGGTTTCCCTGTGGCTAGAAAAAATACACAGATTCGTTCACTGGAAGAGTCTGTTCCAGAAATGGGCATTACTTGAGTCAAAAATGCAGAATTGTCAGATATGGAACTTTGGCTGAAGACTTTTGTAAATTACCTCGGTCAAATTTTTGTTACATGGCAGCTTCTATAGTCTTGTTTTAAAATAACTTTTAAAAGGCTTCTTCCACAATTGCAGCTCATCATGAAAAAGACCAGGTCTCGCTTACGAAAACTTATTTTCTTATTTTTCAGTCTTTTTACTGGGATCATTGGAAATTTCTAGTTACTGTCTGTGTTGAAGGACATAGAGAAAATGCATACTTTTCTTTTGCAAGGGAAACGGGAAGTTGGTAGCCCCAGAAGGATAGTGTCTGATGAAGTCTCTTTCAGGATGACTTTGATAATGATGTGGATGCTCTGCTGGAAGAGGGTCTTCGAGCACCCAAAACAAGGAGACTAGAAAATGAGAAATACGGTGGTGAAAGTGATCACCAGTCTGATGGAGAAACAAGTGTGCAGCCAATGATGACCAAAATTAAAACTGTACTTAAAAGTAAGTTAATGTTCGTTCAATAGCTCTAACCTTTTGCGTGGCTTATGTCTGTAGAACGAAAGTGTATCAGCAAGCAAAGTGCAAATATTTTTAGTGGAAAACTCGGTTGTTTCAGAAGCAAGTATGACTTTTCCATCAAATATAGTGGTGCTTGTGCTGATATAAGTTAGTATGTAAAGAAGACTAAGGAGAAGATAAAATTCATTGGTGAAATGAACAAATTGGTCTGTATAGAAATGAGTGCTACTGTTGCTTTTGAGTTGAAAACATAATGGAATCTGTAATTTTGCAGGTTTTATTAAAGCAAAACAACCTGTCTGCAGTACTTCTTTAGTCTTGTTTCAGTGTCATTTTATCCTTTGAGACAGAAAAAGCAATACAGATAAAAACATTGATTCTTTTTCTGTTCTTTTAAGCAGTCCAAGTTTAAAGCCATTCTTTGCTTTAAAGGTCGTGGCCGCCCTCCTACAGAACCTTTGCCAGACGGATGGATCATGACATTCCATAACTCAAGAGAATCTAGAGTTGTTACCTGGTCTAGGCCTTACTTCTTGGGAACAGGAAGCATAAGGGTGAGAGCTGTCAATTACTTAAATACTGAGATTTAAAAATGAGCTGTGTTCCTGCAAACCATTGAATTAACAGGCTGCTTTCCAGTGTTAGAATTTAGGTGAACTTAGAACTTGAAAAATAAACTCCTCTATTTCTGAAAACATGTTTTTTCTTAGTGTTTTGTTTTTCCATTTTTGCAGTGAGTTCGGGCAGTTAGATTGCATGAGTTGGTCTTGTTTTGTGCCCTCGTTGGTCTAGCATATGGCTGAGAAATGTTGGTTTTATTCCACCATAAAATATATTTAGATCACTTATTTGTAGCTGTGAACTAGTCAGAGCTGTGGCTTATGGTCCACATTTACAGAAGTAAGCACAAGATGTTTGTGAACCCAAGGAACCTGCAGAAATTGAATTTAATGTCATGGGCCTAAATCCCAAGAGACCTCAATGGATTTTTGGGAAACAGTGTAGTTTTTGCAAGTGATAGAACAGAGTATAGTTTGCATCTAAACCAGCAAATGCACTCTGAAGTTGACTGTCAGTGTATCCAGTGCCAAGATACTACAGGAGTGGGTGTACTCAGATCTTGAGTAGCATAAGGTTGCTGACCAAAGAGAAGCTTGAGCCTAGACTAAATAAAATAAACTTCCGTCTTGATTACATCTTCTGGTCATCTTGAGGTACTGAAACATTCTGTATTATTTTGTATTTGCAGAAACATGATCCTCCCCTTAGTAGCATTCCCTGCTTGCATTACAAAAAAATGAAGGAAAATGAGGAAAGGGAACAAAACAATGACATAACCCCAAATGGGGAAGTATCACCAGTAAAGCACCTAGATAAATCTTCAGAACTGGACTGCCAAACAGAAGAACCAGACTCTACTGCTGCTGATTCTGGGCCTTTAGATGACAAAGACGCCTCAGGGGGAGATGCAGCACAAGGAGCCTTAGGACAGGTTAAGGCCAAAGTTGAAGTATGTAAAGATGAATCTGTAGGTATGTATGGAAAGCGGAGTCTCTTCTTGGCTGGCGTTGGGGAAATGGCACTTGGGATACGTACGCTTTCTGCCAGGCTTGGCAGCGGAATAGTATCTTGCCCAAGATCAGGTGGTCAGTTGCCTTTCTGCATGTTTCTTTGTGTGCATAGATCTGGAGAAATAGATCCAGTATTAGAAATCAATTTTGATTCTAACAGGAAGAGAAACATGCAGTGAAGCTTTTCGCTGAAGACTTCAAAGTCCGCATGCCAAGGTCTTACATACAAAAATGTACAACATCTGGAATTTTAGTCCTGTGGACTTTTATCTCAGTGTAAGAATCAATTAAGGCAATGTGTAGATAGGAATCGCTCTTGTCAGGTGTGTTTCTATGACTTGTATGCAGTCTATATTGGCTGAATTATATGTTTGTGGTGTGATCTTTTAAGATAAATGGTGTAATTAAACTAGCTTTGCTTATTTGCACATCTTGCAGAATAAGCTCTGCAGATATAATTGTACTCATGCAAAGGGCTGGTTTTGCTTCATTATTTATGTAAGTCTGATAGCTTTTGTACAAAAAGCTGTTTAAAGAAGTCATGCCAAAATCACTGCCAACTTTAGAGGAACTTTGAGAGAAAGCTCCTGTGCCACAGCACAGCCACGTACCCGAGATTACCCTCTCTGTAAATTACTGCAGCTCAGAATACTGATAGGGGTTGTAGGCTGTCACTTATCTCTGTGGTGTTCAAACATAAAACTTGTCCTTCTCCGTACACATGCCCTGTTCAGTCCAAAAATGATGCCAAAACATTATTAAAAAACAATTAGCAGCAAAACTAAACCCAGTAAGCACTTACTTTCTGCGTGTAGTTCACCTACCTGTCTCTCTCTTCAAATAGAATGTTCTGTATTACTGAAAAAAATACTGACTGATCAAGTCTAAGTGTGACTTGTGTTTGGAATTCCTTCTGGAAAGAAACGATGCCAGCAGCTTGCTTTTGTTTGTTTACATCTTGGGGTGATATGTTTTATTTTTGCTGATGATATCTGCCGAAATGTCCTCTACAGGAGAAGCAGCTGTGTTTCAAGGGAGGCAGTCCTTTAGTACCCTGAAATGACCACATGAAATTCTGGTTAGAGGCCAGCACATAGTCACAGAGCATCACGATACAGCGTGTCGTGGTGCACGGTTCAGTAAATAGGCAGCAAGGGTCAGGTTTGCCTTCAGGAAACGGAGGCTAATTGCGTAACCCCTGTTGCTCAGTGCATACCTTGCTGCAGGTAGTGAGAATGTTGAATAGGTGATGGAGTAGAACAATTACTAGTGTCTTGTTACAAAGTGTGTTGGGTATTACGCTGGTTGGGGCTTAGTTAATCTTCAGGTGACAGCATGAAATGCTCCTTTGTTTTCCTGTTTGCACAAGTGTCTTGCATTTGATCCAGTAACAACAAAAATTTTAATTAGTTCTGGTAGTATAAAATAGCATCTCAACCTTGAGTATGTGAACTAAAGCCACTACTTTTGCTCCTAGTCTGAAAAAATAATCGTATCTTAAAACCATGAATTTACAGCTTGCTGAGTGGTGAAGCAGAGTGTGTAATTTGCTTGTGTTTCTCAGATCTGGAAGATTTTAGACGCTATCTTGAAAAGCGTTTTGACTTTGAACAAGTCACCGTAAAGAAATTCAGAACCTGGGCTGAGAGACGGCAATTCAATCGTGAAATGAAGCGGAAGCAGGCGGAATCCGAGCGGCCTATTCTGCCTGCCAATCAGAAACTCATCACCTTGTCTGTGCAAGATGCGCCTACAAAGAAAGGTTAGTTCGGATCCATCATATTGCATAGTAAAGGAAAAGTACGGTCAAAATATACTTCCTATTAAGAAGAATAATTCCTAAATGAAAGGATTTTTATTTAAGGCTGCAGTCCTGGTGAGTGGTTACTGCATTCTGCTACGTGTTATCACTGGTTCTTACTGAAAACCCTCCTGCCTGGTCACTCTATGCTACTGCTTTCTCCGTTCTGTGCCAGTTCTAATTGGTCCCAAATTAGGGACTGATTACAAATGCCAGATTGATCCAGATTAAAACCTGCAATTAAAAATACATATTTAATGCAGGTTGATGGAAATGGTTATGGAAGAACCATGTGTGCAGTTGTGCCCTGTGGCGTGAGGAGGGGCATATTATGTCTTAGGAGAAATGGTGATTTAGCTCTCACTGTATTGGCTGTGCAGCCATGGTGGTATCTTTAACTGCAGCCTGTTACTCCAAGGGTCCATTGACCTGTGATTGGGGTTTTGTTCTTGTTTTGTACACTGTCATGTTTCCGGGTTTCTTCAGGGGAATTAAGGCTTATGAGCTGTATATTGACCATTCCCTGGTAACAGGAAGGTGCAGTTAAATCTTTTATTTAATGCACTTTATCTTGAATTCTAGGTTTAGAGCCATCTGAGTTAAGGACTGACTTAAGCTTTATCTATCTAAATCTTAACTTTCTCTCCCATACTGCCATAGTGCTCGCTGAGGCAGGGTTTGTGCTCTTGGCTGACAGTATTGTTGCGGGGGAAAAAAAATAGGGCTTACAAATAAAAAGAGCATGTTTAGGGCAAGGGGAGAGGGACCTGATGTGAAGTTTATGTGCCTATTGTTAGAAGAGAGACAGTGTGTGTTTAGAAGCAAATTGGAGGGTTTCTAATTGATGTTAGTTGCCAAAAATGCTCTGTGTAGAGGTCCAGAGATCATGAGACTGCAAACATAGAATACTTGACTTAGCTCATAATCAGTGCACTTCCAGTTGTTGATGGGAATTCCTCAGACATATTTTTCAACACTTTTTCAGAGAAAATGGACTTTGAGGTCATAATTATCCATGTCTGATTCAACAGCATTGCATTTAATTTGAGTGGGCACTTACCTCTTTTAGCTTGTCATTTATGTATTTGTAGTAGAAATTGTCTTTTAAAGGCTGGAACAACTCAGCTGTCTTCCCACTTTTTTTTTTTTTGGTAGAATTTGTCATTAATCCCAATGGGAAGTCGGAAGTTTGCATACTGCATGAGTATATGCAACGAGTCCTAAAGGTTCGCCCTGTTTACAATTTCTTTGAATGTGGTAAGTCTAAGTTTGTTAATCAAGCACGTGCTGTTTTGAAGGGTTTATCTCCTGCTTGGACAGCCTCAAAATCAAATGATGGACGTATTTCCAAGGGGATATTGTCAAATTCTAGCTAGGAAATGTTTTCTGTATCTTAAGCAGGGCTTTTGAGGACAGGAGTGGTCTTATCTTTAAACTAGCAATGTGGCTGTTCGGTTGGAAAACGGTGCCTGTGTGAAAATGGGTTTGAGTAACTCATCTGCATCTAAAAGGAGGCATCAGTGAAATACAGGCAATTGCTGTTTTGCTGACTGCTCACAACTAACATTTGCTTAATTTTCTTGTCGTTATTGTCCAGAAAATCTGATTGGAAAGCACACATTGTTTTAGTGAATCATTATAATTCTGGGGGGAAAAATATGATAGATAGTAAATCCAGGTAGTTAACAAGAAATATGTAGGCCTTCAATTAGGAAGCAGTTAAGAATTTGAAAGATTTCTGTGGACACATACGTACCCTCTCTAAAGCTGCAGTAGTTTGAGAGATTTTTCTGATTTTGTTCTGTTCTGGTTTACTTCCAACTAACAAAAAACTTTTCCCCTGTAAATTCCAGCCAGATTGCCATATCCAGCTGCGTTTGAGACTGCTTTACAAAGTGGTATAGCACGTGCTCCTTGCTTTTTTGCTTTTGACAGGTTTTTTGGGGGTACTTTATGGAGGAGGAAGAAACTACACTTTTTTTGGCAGTAGGTTTGAAAGGATTAAGTTGTGCAGTCAGCATCCGAGGAATTACAAGTTGGGCATCTTAGTTTAGTGTGGACTCTGTAAATACTGAGAATCATGTTATCCCTATACATGCATGCATAGTTTGAATTTTCACTACCAGAACGTGAGGCTCTTGTATTTACACTGCTAGTGATGCAAAAACTTTGGAATGAACACCTGAATTCTGGCAGGTTATACATGATCTCTGAAAATGTAAAAGTCCTTCCTTTGGAGGAATGAAACATGTGGCGGTAAGTCTCTGTCAGTGGAGAACTCTGTTCACGGAGTAAGCAATTCTCACTCTTTCTGAAGAGTAAACAATTTCCATCCCTCTTGAAGCTGACATGAAGAGGAAAGTCAATCTTGATAGTGGTGCTATTTCGCTATTTCATGTTCATGATGAGTGTTTTACATTGGAAGTTCTGAAAAGCTTTCTTTTCTTTCCACCCCGGCGCCTTTGCTCCCAGAGAACCCAAGTGAACCTTTTGGAGCCTCAGTGATTATTGATGGAGTAACTTATGGGGCAGGAACTGCCAGCAGCAAAAAACTTGCCAAGAATAAAGCTGGTAACACTTTTTCTTAATACCAATTGCTGAATTGCTTATCTGTTCTCATTTCTGCTTTCAAGATCACAGAATGGTTTGGGTTGGAGGGGACCTTAAAGATCACCCAGTTCCACCCCCCCTGCCATGGGCAGGGACACCTTCCACTAGACCAGGTTGCTCCAAGCCTCATCCAGCCTGGCCTTGGACACTTCCAGGGATGGGGCATCCACAGCTTCTCTGGGCAACCTGTCCCAGTGCCTCCCCACCCTCTCCGGGAAGAATTTCTTCCTGATATCTAATCTAAACCTCCCCACTTTCAGTTTAAACCCGTTCCCCCTTGTCCTGTCACTACAGGCCCTTGTAAAAAGTCCCCCTCAGCTTCCTTGTAGCCCCTTCAGGCACTGGAAGGCCACAATAAGGTCTCCCCGGAGCCTTCTCTTCTCCAGGCTGAACACCCCCAACTCTCCCAGCCTTTCATCGTAGGAGAGGTGACATATTTGCAACAGCAAGTAGGAATCATTTTGTTAGTAGTCAAAGAAGGTACGCTCTGTCTTTTTGGTAAAAGTGGCATGTACTGTTGCATACTTTTCTGACAGTCCTAAGTTCTGTGATGGGAAAGGAAGAAGAAACTTCAGTTGTGAACTTGGACGTAAGCTGTTGTCGTACTCTGAGCAGCTGTAAGAGCGTCTGTAATGATCAGGCCCATAGAACGTGTTGGACATTTATATTTATCCTGTCACCTGCTATAGAAGCAGCAGGTGTATGGATTTGAGCAAAACAGCAGTCTTTGCTCTTCTTTAAAATCAAACAAAAAAACCAGTCTCGGTTCTGGTCATTTTGGTTCTCTTTCTCGTATCAGCTTGAACAAGTAGAATTCTTTTTTGTTTTTTCTTAAAAAGTGCAAGCGAATGTACTTTTACAAAAAGAAGGTGCCCGTCTTACCTGTAAAGGTGCTGTCTGGCCAGAGTGATAGTTCTTGGGAAGATGTGAGGCTTGCTGAGGGTACTTCATTCTGCTGTTTCCTTTACAATCGTCATTTAAAGTAAAGGTAATCAAGATGTTGAATTGCTTTCTGCAGCTCGAGCTACACTGGAAATCCTTATTCCTGACTTTGTTAAACAGACCTCTGAGGAGAAGCCCAAAGACAGTGAGGAACTTGAGGTACTGAACTCTTTCTTGCTGTCATTATCAGTCTGGTGTTATAGACGTTTTTCCTTCACTATCAGAAATATTGATGGAAATTCATAGCATTGCCTTCTCAGTCAGATGGAAGTGTGAAATTATTCTTTTACAGCAAGATCCATGGCAATGAAAATACTCTTTTTTTTCTTCCTATTGGATTAGAAAATGTATTGTGATGCAGAGAACTAGTCTCTTGTGAAATATTATATCACTTTCTGAAGACCTGAAATGTTCCACAACACTAGACTACCTGTACTATCCTGGCTTCTGGGATTCTCTGGCTGATGCCTTGAAAAGTTCAGAGCCCCAGAGTCTCTGGGTTTGTGTGATTGTGTTAGGAGACCAAGTAAGAACCAAGAGTGCCCAGGCTTCTGTGACATTTTCACCTACTTGTGAAAGCTATTTATTGCTACAATTTCAGGCTTCAAGCAGTGACATTTGGGAACATCAGAGGAAAAGTTTCTTTTAGGAGCAGAGCATGTGCTATATTTTCAGCTGTTGGAAATATAAACTAGCTTGTGCATCAGTGCTACGTTCACTTCCAGTTCAGCATGTCACAGACAATCAGTAAGGAGTAAAGGAGAAATCGGTGATCAGCCTGAAAGCAATGTTACCTCTTTGAGAAGTGTAATATACAGCATGGCTTGTGCACTGGCTTTAACTTAAAACTGCGTTGTATGCCCTGCACCACTGAAACAGTCATTAAGGAAAAGCAGAGACTTTTTTTCTATTACTTTAAAATAAAATACAAAACGTGCCAATAGCTGTTATGTCTTACTAAATCACAGCATTTTGATAAGTACAGTTTCATAACTGGTTAAAGCTAAAATAAAATAACCTTGCCCTGAGGGAGAAAGGATGATACAGAATGTATGACACAGTCATTTTCATGTCCATCTTCTGTGTAATGTAAAATTGGAGTTAAATAATTATTTAAATACCTGTCTGCAAATACATGATTAGCTGTGTCAGTGATGTTGGTAAATACCTCCACTGTGGGCTTAAAAATACTTAAGTATTGAGCACAGAGTTGCAGAATTTGTTTAATGTTGTAAAGGAGACACGAGCTTAAGTGTTGAGCACAGAGTTGCAGAATTAGTTTAATGTTGTAAAGGAGACACGAGAGTTAAGAATAGAATAAGGTCTTGCCTGCACCCAAGCTCAATAACCCTTTTCCATTCCATTGTAGTATTTTAACCATATCAGTATTGAGGACTCACGGGTATATGAACTCACCAGTAAAGCTGGACTCTTGTCTCCGTATCAGATTCTCCATGAGTGCCTTAAAAGGTAAGGCCTTTTGAGGAGAAACTGCTGTGTGCAGCTCTTCGGGTTTGCTTGGTAGCTGGCACCCAGGGTTTGTCAGGAACTGGGATGTTTGTGGGCTGGCTGCGCTCCCTGTTACAGGAGGTGTGGTGCAGCTCAGCTGGTTAGTGCTGTATCTTCTTTGAATTTCTGTTTGCTCATTATGCCTCTTGTCTTCGGAGATGAGGATTTAGTTGTGGAACATAAATATGTTTTTGGGTTTCCTTTATACAGGCTGCCTTTCCAGTCAAGTTACTCATCTAAAACCCCTCTTTGTTAACTTATGCCTTAAAACGTGTTGTTAATGTCTCTAATTCCATTGCAATGACTGTCAAAGATGACTGCAAACACTGCAGTTTGTCGTTTATATACAGCTTAGTATATGATACGGATTTTGTTTGTGCTTAAGAAACCATGGAATGGGGGATACATCCATAAAGTTTGAAGTGATCCCTGGTAAAAATCAGAAGAGCGAGTATGTCATGACTTGTGGCAAGCACACGGTGCGAGGCTGGTGTAAGTACAGTACTCAGTGTGACCTCTGGGAATGCTTTCCTTTCTCCTCTTGGCGTGTGGTGTCCGTTTGGCTTGTTCGGCTGTCTAGCGTGTTACATGCGTGTTCTGCCCTTCTCTGGTACCTCGGTGTTGAATGACACAAGTCAGTATTGGTGTTCCTCTAGTGACGTAATGTGCCACCGCTGACACGTTTTCATGGTTATCTTTACAGGCAAAAATAAGAGAGTGGGGAAACAATTAGCTTCTCAGAAAATCCTACAGCTACTGCATCCACATGTGAAAAACTGGGGCTCTCTTTTGCGTATGTATGGTAGAGAGAGTAGCAAGATGGTTAAACAGGTGAACATGATTTTGTTGGATTCTAACCTACTTTGTGATTGTGTTCTTGCTTTTGTGCTTTTCTGGAGGTTTAAATTGAGTTACAGCAAAGCTGTAGTGGTACCTGGTTTGGCCGAAGAGCGTTGTTCCTGGCCGTGGTAACGCAGTGTGCGTTTGGAGAGCAGCTCTCGGTTCTTCTGAACTGGTTCTCCTGCCTCGCTGTTGCCAGAACACCAGCTGAGCGCTTTCGTTGACAGCAGTGACTGTGTTAACTTGCATCTTCCAGGTCAAAATCGTATAACCTAGTTAACGTGTAACTAGCCTGTGGAAATACATAGAATCCTAGAATGGTTTGAGT